AACACAGAACAACAAGATACGGGGATGAAAACTAATCAAGGACAGAATGAACCTACAACTAAGGAGAAATTTCCTGACATTGAGAACAATTAATCAATGGAATGACTTGCCTCCAGAAGTTGTGGGTACCCCAACACTGGAGGTTTTTAAGAAGAGATTGGACAATTTGTCTGAAATGTTGTAGGGTTTCCTGCTTGAACAGGGAGTTGGACTAGAAGCCCTCCAAGATCCCTTGCAACTCTGTTATTCTGTCATTCTGCTGTGCAAATCACATTTTCAGGCCACTCCTACTGTTAGCTTGAGATACAGAAATTGTACAGTTTAGTTTAGTTTACTTTATTGTCATTGCACCTCGTACAACGAAATTAAATGCCATCTTCAGTGTATATTATAACTAGAAAAATAAAACACAAACACACATCCTTCACATTCTCTAGAATTGGACTGAAACCCCCTGATATTGCATTCATATTGCACTATGCAGTAGAATTCAGTACGGTTACTGCCCTGGGATAGAAGCTGTTTTTCAGTCTATTTGTCCTCGTTTTTATTATCCTGTACTGTCTGCCAGATGGTAATAGTTCAAAAAAAGGGTGCCCAGGATGAGATGGATCTTTAAGAATGTTCTGAACTTTCTTAAGGCAGTGGGAGTTATAAAGCTCTTCCAAAAAGGGGAGAAGACAACCAATGATCCTCTGGGCAATGACGTTAACCCTCTGGAGTGCTGTCCTATCTGCCACTGTGCAATTGGCAAACCATACACAGGTGCAGTAAGTTAAAATACTCTTACGGTGCAGCGGTCACCAGCAGTTTTTCATTCAGTTGTTGTTTCCTGAGAAGTCTCAGGTAGTATAATCTCTGCTGGGCCCTTTTGACAAGTGCTGCAATGTGCGTGCCCCAAATCAGGTCGTCTTTTATGCTAACATGCTAACACCCAGAAACTTAAAACTGGCCACTTGCTCCATTTGGTCTCCATTGATAAACAAGGTATGGATGTCTGATCTGTTCTGTCTATAGCCCTCTATAAGCTCCTTGGTCTGATTGGTGTTAAGGACCAAATTATTGTCTCCGCACCACGAAAGCAACTGGTCCACCTCACCTAGATAGATAGACTCATCCCACCCCCCCACCCCCAGAGATGAGTCCCACCACTGGTACAGAGGACAATAACATTATTACCGCTGGCAGGATGGGAGGTTCCATTCAACATTTGAATACTATAAGGTCAAAAATAATATTTCCTTGAGGAAAAGATGTAAGGCTTATAACGCTGCTCTAAAAGAATAGAAATCAGTAAGTAGGTGATAAAATGGGGCAAAACTCACTTAATAACTCCTTGTTTAGCAATGAAAATGTTGGACTCCATTGTGGTCGTAAGTCAAGGACTACCTGTATATGAATAATTGTATCACAGAGAAGGATTTAAGCATTACATCACATGAACTGCAGTCCATTTATAATAGAAGAGACTGGTATATATCAAACTGCGTTCCATGGCGAAGAAACCAATGAAGTAGTTTTATAATGACAATCATTTTATCAGCAGATTTTATAAGTATAAATCCACATAACTATTCAAAATAAAATCTAACAGAAATCATTGGTATGTAAAACCATTCCCCAACTCACATGACTTTCATAAGTTACTTCATCAGAAAGTTAATGAAAAATATGATAGATGCATTCTGCTCCTTACTGAAGTGCAACTGTTTACAACAAATGTCTAAACATATCAACGTATCCATTTTAATGTTAGCTGTGAAAAGATAAAGCCAACATTTCAAATTTTAACTTCTCAAAAGTACATATTGCTAAGCTATCATAACATTCGTAAGGCTGCCTGTTTCCAACACTTCTGCTACAATTTACAGTTTCTGATTAGACCATGCAAACATATTGCTATTTGGTAGATGAAACAAAATATTGTTTGGGGTGTGCAACTTCCACCTTAAAAAAAATACAAAAGAAATTTAGGCGGTCAGTTACTAATTTGCCAAATTTCTCCTTTATCATCATCTTAAAAGACATGAGGAGAGAAATAACATCACTGGAAACAGGACCTTTTAGCAATATCTCTTTAACAGTACAAGCTGTTCATTCACATCTCAAGTGCCAGGAAATTTAGTTTCAGATACTGTTCTGTGACTTTGAGTTAATTGCTGCTGAATTTGGCATGCACTATTTTAGTTCTGTGTTAGAGCAACATATTTACTATCATTCAGTTATGCCCAATGTATTTTAGTGGATAGTCAAATCTATGCAAAGTACGTTGCTAATCATTCTGTGAATTAAATATAAGAAGCAGAGAATTTCCCCCACAATATTGGATTTATCCACAGATGCAGTTCCTTCGCTACTCCAAGTCTGGATTATCTTTTCTGCAATAACAGAATTTAATTTACGGCATAAAATAAAGACAAGGAACAAGGCCCTTTGATATGGCTGACAGTGCAGGATGCTGGAAGTTGTAGTTCAGCAACACCTGCAGGATTATAGGTTCATCATTCCTTTATAAAAAAAACATGTGTTGTAACATTATAGTTTATGTTTTACTCTACCTTCAAAAGCCCAAACACAAAAGACTGGTACTCTGCAAACATGCTTAAAAACACTGGATATACAGTTAAGTCCTCAACTTACAACCCAGTGGTGAGTTGCTCCCAGTTCTGTCCGGTTCTATAGAACTGATAGTAAAACCAGCGGCAGGCTCCACCCACCTGCCATGACATCATCATGGGTGATCTATGCATGCGCAGAAGCACGCGTGCGCTCCCGCTGCGAACCAGTAGTAAAGGTAAGTAGAACCCACCCCTATTACAACCACAATTGAACCCAAAATTTCTGTTAAGTGAGACATTTGTTAAGTGAATTTTAACCCATTTGACCCTTTCTTGCCATAGTGGTTAAATGAATCACTGCAATTGTTATCTTAGTAACACAGTTGTTAAGCTTGCGTGTCAGAAAACCACAAAACTTGATCACATGATCTTGAGACATAGCAATGGTCATAAGTATGAACCAGTTGCCAAGCATCTGAATTTTGATCATGTTATAATGGAGATGCTGCAAAGGTTGTAACTGTGAAAAATGGTCATAAATCATATTTTCCAGTCCGTTGTAACCTTGAATGGTCACTAAATGAACTGTTGTAAGTCGATGACTGCCTGTACTGTGTTTTAAAAATGGTTGAATTCATTCAATCAGCAGCTTTTAAATTTACGGTCTAGGGAATCCTGGCTAAGATTAAATTCTTTGCTTTCTACTACCTGACTCTTGAATGCATCTGAATCATATTCAGTGAGACAGCACAGCCTTAGCAAACTACTTAATTAATTAAGAAAAGAGATTGCATATGCTGAAAGTTCAAGAGAGAAATACGAAGCTGAGCAGGGTACAAGGAATTAAATGGTCTCTTTTCTCATCTCATTTATATTTTTATTCAGGATACAAGATAGAATCCATACTCCGATATTAAAAGACAGATTACAGGTATTGCCAGACTGATGTTAACTCAGAATACTTCCTGTCTTTCAACAGATTCATAGAAAGGCAGAAAGCAAGAGTTAGGATTACAGTTTCTCTGCCTGATTTTTCATGATTGATAAAAAATAGCATATCACTCTTACCTCTGATAATTTAAGCTTTGGCATTAAAAATAGTATGCCTTGTGAATGAAGAATTTTGTTTCAAACTGTGACATTCACATACAGATAGTCCTCGACAGACAACAACAACTGAGCCCAAATTTTTCTTTGTTAAGCAAGAGAGTTAAGAGAGTTTTGCCTCATTTTACAACCATTCTTGCCACAATTAAGTGAATCACTGTAGTTGTTAAGTGAATCATTTGGTCATTAAGCAAATCTGGCTTTTCCCCATTGATTTTGCTTGTCGGAGGCCTGCTGAAAAGGTTACAAATGGTGATTACGTGACCCCAGGACAGTGCAACTGTCATAAATACATGCCAGTTGCCAAGTGTCTGAATTGTGATCATGTGACCATGGGGAATGCTGCAATGATTGTAAATGTGAAAAATGGTCGTAAGTCACTTTTCAGTGCCATCTTGCTCTGAATGGTCACTAAATGAATGGTTGTAAGTCAAGGACTATCTACATATTAAAATCACAATTTTGTCCTTTCAATCAGTGGGTGTTCAAATTTCTCTATTTTTCTATTTATTTTCTATGATATAGATGCTATTTTACTGTACACTCCTAGGCAGAAGCAAAACATTTGGCTAGTAGCCAGTATTACAAGTATTTTTTTTCCTGATAAAGGAAGTTAATTTTCTCCTCAACAGATTGAATAGAACTTCACAAAAAAATTTCCTATGAAACTTATAGCATTCACATTAGGCTGCACAATCATGTCAACCTTATTTTACCAGTTCAATTACAAATAGATTGTCAAGCCTATCATATAAAATTCCCTTTCATTATGTTATCACAGCCTGAAAGCTGTAATTTCACATCTATATCCCTGTCACTTTCAAAAGAATTCTGGGGCAACATTCATAGGATACCTTACACTAATCACATTTAATTTTGAGCAGCTGCTATTACCTATTTATCGGTACTTTCATGCTACCAGAGGATTTATGACTATTCAAAAGCTTCAGTAATATAGTTATACAAATCTATTTCATATTTGATCCAAGACCCTAAAGGAGGAAGAGAGAGAGAAGAATAGAGACATACTCTGGCACCAATTAAAGACAAATAGCAATTCTTATCACGACCAGCAGAAATATTTTTTTTTTCAAGAAGAGGAATTTGTTGATTTCTCAACTAAGCTGAACAATCTTCCTTCCATCCACCTGTCCCATTGCTACAGTCTATTTAAGCAGCCTTTGGATGGTGGTAATTGCAAGAAGTTTGATGGAAGTAGTCGCTCAATGGTCACTTAAGCCAAAATATTGATATTTAATTTGAAAGGAATGAAAATATTAGATTGCATGTTAAGAAAGAAATCAGAATGTATACAGGATTTGTATTGCTGCTCACTGTTGCATTCCAGTATTCTTTTGTTTCTGGATATAGGAAGGTAGAAGCTCATTCTGTTCCTTCTCACTCTTTCAGTTTCCTTCAGTGTAATCTAGAGAAAGGAAAGCAGGCTTTACCAGAAGTTCTGGAATTTTCCAGCTGCCCTATTTTGCCTAAGGTTTTAGTTCTCCTGGAAAGATGAATAGAAAAGAAACCCTGTTTACAGGCTTACAGGGTTTACAGATTGGCAGCCTGTCAAGCTCATCGCTGAAATCAGTATTTCTCAACCTTGGCAACTTTAAGAAATGAACAGTTCAACTCCCAGAATTCCCCAGCCAACATTTTTAATAATTAACAAAATTGTAATATATTTTCTGAATTGTAAACTGCCCAAAGTCATTGAGATGGGGGGCCATAGAAATTGAACAAATAAATTCCCACCTAACATCTTTTCTTCACTGTTTATTGACAAAGCTAGCCTGGAATAGAAAAGAAACTGTGCATGTTTAGTGCATTTTTAGGAATAGTAAATACAGTATTGACTTTCAGAGATATTCTGACTTTCCATCTTGGATTATAGAGTAGTTAATTTACCCAATGGAACCATAAGATGCCAGATGAGTAATATTAACTTCATTCAAAAGCATATTATGAAAGGCAAATTTGTACATTGGATCTCTCACTTAAGAAAACCAAAGTATTACATGTACAAAGAACACATCTGTTTAGTATGTTCCAGTGTGTTTCATTTTTTAGATTAAATAAAACTGCAAACCCTGAAAACTTTCTCCAAGTTCCACAGACGTACAAGCTCAAATTATGGCCACTGCACCAGTTAGCCTACACATCTTTGGAATTTGGATCAAGTAATCTGCACCTGTGAAAGTAATCTGGCCCATCAATCACAAAAACAAAGTGTGAATTTATTCTCACTGAAGATTGGAGTTGCTCAAATCTTTAAAAGGGATGTTTTGTAATATAGGGGAGTGTGTGAAGCACTAGTCCTTGAATCATTACAGCACCTGTGTCTTTCCTGGCTGATGCAGCTGTTCTCTAAACTGCTATTAATGTTCAGTTACTTTCTTTGCTAGAAAAAGAAACATAGTGCAAGACATCTGGAGGACATCAGGCAAAAGGAACTCTCAATCAGTTCATTCAAGTTATTTTGATCAAAGATCACAAACACCCCCCTTCCCAAAGTAAAATAACTTGCAAATACCAACCATATAAAATCTGCCAAAAGAGCCCATATGAACGTATTCTCAATACAGTCTAAGGTCATTCATTTGCTGATACTGACAGCAGCTGTGCTCAACTCTGCAACACTACGCATAACAAAAGTGTCCTTGTGTGATAAAAAAATAGGTTAACATAAAATTTCTGTTTGACCTGGGTCACACAAAGAACAGAGTCTTCTTTGGCTATCATTATAAAAGGAACAATATAGCAACATGTGAAGGATGAATTCAGCTATGCCAAAAGTGCAGAGATAGCTTTGGCATGCTACAGGGACTTCACTGAATTTCCCATATGAAAGTGCTGAGGGTGAACTGTCTAAAAGACTTTCTCTGATTACCGTAAATTGTACAAAATGTAGAAAATCTACAGAGAGGCCTTGTGGAGAAACCTTTCCCCCAAAACGCTCAAGACCATGAGGACTGAAATTGGTCAGACAAAGAAAATGCTACTGTAAGAAATCAAAGTATACCCTCGCTTGGTTAAAGATGTGTATCAAAATGGGCTAGAAGGCAGTTCTTCCTCTGCTTCTGCCCTCTTCCTCCCTCCCATCAATTAAAAAAAATCACTATTTATTCCATTTTTTCCTCCTGAGATTGTAAATTGAATTCTTTCTTTTAAATCAATATTCTTTAGCAGCCTAATCTTGGCTCTCTGGGTCAAGCTGGGCAACTCTGTGGGTACACTTGACATTACACTGTGATAATGAACATGAAGCACTCAAAATACTTAAATATGCCTACTAAATGCAGATTATCAGTATTAATTTCAGCTATCTCTGTGATCCCTGGAACTGTTTATGTATCTATTTAATACACGAAAGAGGCACAAGCGTCTAATTGGCTACCTCAGTGTTTGTCAACTTTGTCCACTTTGAGATGGGTGGATTTCAACTCCCAGAATTCCCCAGTCAGCCTTGCTGGCTAGGGAATTCTGGGAGTTGAAATCCACCCATCTTAAAGTGGCCAAGGTTGAGAAACACAGAACCACATAATATTTCCCTCCTATCAACCTTTCTCCATCATTTTAGATCAGAAACAGTTTTGCATCAACAAATAAAAGAATACAGTACAGACAATTTAGGAGGAACTATACCATTGTATAGGTTATCATCAATATGTGAAATTAGCCATTTTATAGAATGCCTAGGAAATCTATAGAATGCCAAAAATGGGACAATGCAGCATGAAAAGCTTAATATTTCACACATTTCCTAGGCAATCGATGCAATGCCAAAAGGCAAACTGGCAAAATAGCACTCTAGTCTTCCTTGTTGCAACAAGTAGGTCAATACTGGTCCTTTTTCTTGTTTTTTTGTTTCAAAATAGGTATAGGATAAAGTCCTATACTTTATCTTGCATTTCTTCATTCATTTTCAATATGTCTAACCCTAACTGTAACTCTAACCCTTTTCATGACTCTCTTTTAATACTTTGCCTAAATAGTTCTTGTCATTCCACATAATGCCTAGGTATTATATACAAAGCCTAGGGAAGGTATATAGCAGTGATGGCGAACCTATGGCACGCGTGCCAAAAGTGGCACACAGAGCCATCTCTCCGGGCACGCCAGCCATCGCCCATTGCTCTTCCGGGTTCGGTTCCGGTGTGCGTTGGCCAGGTGGTCTTTGTGCACGCAGGAAACCGGAAGAACAGCTCCCTGGTGTGCATGTGCACACCAGAAAGCTAAGCTTCTGGTTTCTGGTGCTCCCACACATGCGTGCAGAGGGAGCTGCTCTTCCGGTGTCTGGTGCTCCCCTGCACGCACTCCCATTTCAGCACTCAGTGCCGAAAAGGTTTGCCAACACTGGGATATAGCATATTAAAATAACATAGACATTTCATACTTTGCCTAAAAATGTCACACATTCTATAGATTTCCTGAACAATGGCAGATTTTCATACACATATAACATATAAACAATTGCATTAAACAACCCTGAATATGTTTTCAGCTGAGATTATGCAATATGAGCTACATTGAGATACTGAAAAACTAAAAAAAAATAGATGAGTAATCATCAAAATTAGGTTGGGTATTAATTTTATTTAATTAATGTTTATGGTTGCCCATCACAAAACAATGGTTCTGGGTGGTGTAAAACAGCAGTGCCCAATCTTTCCAGCTCTGCAGCCTGGTGGCACCAGCCGTGGTGGCAGGGGATGATGGGATCATTTCCCGCACAAGCACACTCACCTGCTTGTGCAAATACAGCTTTGTGTATCCATGTGCTTACCCGCCACTTCTGCAAATGTGTCTCTGTGTGTGCATACCACACTCACCTGCCTTTTCCGCACCCTGGTTCCCAACAGGTTGCATCCCGGCACTGGGCCACAGCCTAGGAGTTGGGGACCCTTGGTGTAAAAGATTAAAACAACCACCCATGATGCCCAAGGTAAATAAGCGGTTTCAATCAGAAAGATCACATCTACAATGGACCTTACCACCTAACCTCCTGGACCATTATCTGTGGAAATAAAAGGCTAACAAGATTAGGACCATCCAGATCTTGGGGGTGGGAACTGTTTCATAGGGCAGGCACTGCCATAAAGAAGGTGCAATTCCCGAGTTTAAAAAAAATTGACCGAGTTTAAGAGGGAGCCCAAGGCATGCCTGCTCTTGTAGATTTGATAGGCCAAACAGAAATAATAGATTGAATATACACAGGCTAGAAAAGTAGCCTATCTCTAAGCCAGGGGTGGGCAATTAATTTTCCCAAGGGGCCACATGGAAAATTGGGAATACTATGGAGGGTCAAACCAATAGGGCTGTGAGGGTGCGTAGGCAGGCACTCGTGAACATTGTAAATAATATTCACCTTCAAAATAAAAGAAATCCATGTGTGCTAGACGGGGACAGGCAAAGGGCCAGGTGTGGCCTGGGGGGGGTCATAGAGCCCACATCTGCTCTAAGGCATACAGGATGTATAAGTAAAAAGCAGCATTCTTGAGCCACACCTAGAAAGCTACTAGAATGGAGGGCGGCTCATGGTACAGTGTTATATGAATGTAACAAGAAATATTAACACCTGTCCAAATCACTACATTCTAGATCAGGTGCAGTTTCCAAAAGCTGTAATAAAGAAAGAGACCTTGGCGAACTCCCTGATCTCAGCCAGGGGCTCCATGTGATATTAAACAGGAGTGGCAAAAGAGTAGAGTCTTGAAGCACTCCATAACGCAGAATACATCTTTCCCCCGACCACCAAAGCTACCCCCAACGAAAGGAGCAACACTAACATGGTGCTTCCACCTTGAATTCCCTAAGCCAGGGGTGTCAAAACTCGATTTCATTGAGGGCCGCATCAAAGTTGTGTTTGACCTCAGGAGGTGTGGGGGGCGTGGACAGTTTGACATCACTTGTGTCGGGACCACCTTTGATGGCCAAGTGCTAAGGCAGGACTTCCCTCTGACCCTCCCTCTCATTAGCTCCTTCCTTCCTTCCCTTCCCTTCCTTTTTTTCCCCTTTCATCTTCATTCTTTCTTCCTTCCCCCTTTCCTTATTTTCCTTCCTTGCTCTCTTCCCTTCTTTCCTTCTATTTCTGTATCTTTCCTCTTTCCCTTTCTCCTTTCCTTTCCCTTCTTGCATGCTCAAATGCAAAAGGGAAAACATTTCTCCTTTTGTTTTGTTTTTTGTTTGTTTTGCTAGCCCTCTGCCGGTGAAAACTGAGCCCTGGAGGGCCTTGTGCAGCCCTCGGGCCCCATTTTCAATCACGACAGTCTCCTGCAGCCCTCTGGGCCCGCCCACCCAGCTCCATTTTCGCTGGCAGAGGGCTGCAGGAGGCTGTCGTGGCTGAAAACGGGGCCCGGGAGAATGCATACGGCCCTCCCGAGCTCCATTTTTGCTGGTAGAGACACTGCGGGCCAGTCCTTTGCTGTTTCCAGGGAAGACCCGCGGGCCAGATCTAAGTACCCTGCGGACCAGATCTGGCCCATGGGCCTTGAGTTTGACACCCCTGCCCTAAGCAAACCAGAAGATTATCATCATTCATAGTATCAAAGGCCACAAAGAGATCAAGGAGGGCCCAGATGGATGAAGTACTTCCCATCCTTAGCCTGATAAAATCAATGGAAACCTCCTTTCCCCTCTTTGTAAAAGAATATAAATAAATACAATGATCTTTATGTATTTGTTTTACCACTAGTTACAGGTTTGGGGAGTTATGTGCCACTTTAGAATCAGTTAATTGAAGCAGCCTATAAGCCCCATAAATAAATTTAATACAATTCTGAGCAGAGATTTTCAGCTTAAAATGCATTTTAAAATTAGATCCTCCAGCTCTGTAAACTGAAGCTTCTAACAACAGTATCTGAAACAAATGTCCTTTTAGTACAGTATTCCGTGTTAACAAAGTCTCCTATTCAAACTGCTTTTTTCTTGTACAAGAAGGATAAAGCTCAAAATGATACAGAAGTCATAAAATTATATAATGAAGCTTCCAAGACAGGAGATTAGAAGAACAAAGAAATCTCAATAAGAGGCAATGATCAAGAGAGAGCTTAAGTAAAATTTCCCTACGCTACACCCTTATAGAATATGAGGGGATTGGTTGATTAGGTAACTTGAATTTATCTTGTTATATTGGGCAATGAGCTGCATATAGGTTCATAAAGTAAGTTAAGTAAATAAAGTAAGCTCCTTCCTATAAAATTTGAACAATACAGGTAGTCCTCAACTTACAATCATTTGTTTAGTGACCTTCAAAGTAACAACGGCACTGAAAAATGTGATTTATGATCATTTTTCACAAAAATGCAGCATCCCAATGGTTACTTGATTAAAATTTGGATACTTGGCAACTGGCTCATATTTATGAGGGTTGAAGTGTCCCAGGATTATGTGATCTTTTGTGAACTTTTGACATGCAAAGTCAGATTTGGCAACAGCATTTGGGGTTCAATTGTGGCTGTTAAGTCAAGGACCATCTGTAGTTAATTATTGTAATAAGTGTGAGATATTTTCCAAAGTTCTAGGAATAGTTTTAGAAAGTTCAGCCTTAGAAACATGCCTTTTTCAGCTCATGAGCAGAACTCATAACTACAGATGACCTACAGTAGTGGTTACACATATATTCCAACCAATGTACATGTTGATTTTAAATATTAGAAGAACTAGATAGATCGATCTTTTCCTTATGGTTGAAGCCCAAAGAGAAAAAAAAAAGCCTATAAAAAAGCTGATTTATAAAAAATTTTAAAAAAGCAAACTATAGCTTCACCAATTCCAGGTTATATTTAAACAGCAAGGCAACATTTCTTTTTGACAGCAGAAATCATTGCAATGAATGAAATAAGCAAGAAACAAAAGATAAATCGACAGTTTAAGGAATTTTGTAACTTCTAGCCAATGTGCAAGGCAAATGGTTTATCTAACTATAATCCTATTGATGAGCTTTTAGGAAGAAACAAAACTATAATCTAGACAGGAGTTTAAGATAAAGGAAATAGATTGTGCTGCACAACTGATTTGTAATATTTATTTCATTGCTTATGTCATTCTCACTGATGGCGGTAAAACATATTCCATGCTCTTTGAATTCTGAATGAATGAAAACACAATGGCATGTGAACATTTATTTGCATCAACTGCAGCTGTTCCCAGCATTCCTTATCTTTACTAGAGTACTATAACATAAAAGGCTCGAAATTATAGAATATGAATTTTTGATAGTAGTGATTCTGATATGTAGAATGTTAAAGAAACCTTAAGAGAATTATTATGTAAAGATGAATAATAATGAAAGGCAAATACAGCCTTGGCTTGTCTATTTACTGAGAAATAATACTTAGCTAAATGTGATCTTTGTGTAAACATATAACAAACTACAGATGTTACAAATTTCAGGTCTGAATGTTTTCAGGACAAAATGAGTGCAGCACAAACTCAGGGAGAGGACAGCAGTCTTAACTATATAAGAGCACCTTTTAGTCATTTGGTGACATTTTTGAATCCCAAATCTTTAGTTTTCTAGGTTTCACCAATTATTCAATCTGAACACGGACACTACAGAACAGTTCTCATTTGTAGTGACTTCAGCTGGCCTATCCTCTAGAAATGATTTTCTTATCGTAATTGTAATGAAGGGTGCTCCATTCTGTAAAAATGCCAAATGAGTGAGTGAGTGAGAGCCACATTTACATCTTAACAGTACGAGTTTATTTACCTTAAGGACTGTAGGATTTGTTGGGCCACATATTCATTGCAATACTGGGGAGGCCAACACACTGAAAAAGTTGGGATTATTTTGAGACTCTGCAAAATAACCTTGGCACTACTTTCAATTTGCCCCTATTTGAGAAAAAGGTCTTGCTTTAAAAAGGAGCTGTATCATGTGATAATGATCACTGCTTTCAGCCAAGTAGGAAAGAAGTCATAGCTTCTAGCCAATCATAAAAGCCAGAAACCAAATGATTTATTAAGACCCACGAGGCTTCTTTTTGGGGTAAAGATAATAATTTTAATTGTCATGTAGTACATATTCATGATGAACCATTTCACATCACAAAATATTTCTCACAAATACAGTACTAACACACCACACACAACAATTTGCAAATTTCTAGTAATTTCTAGTAATCCATTCATTACTTTAAAGTAATACAGAATAGAAAGAACCAAGATATGTTACGAATTCATCCATTTACTAGTATGCTCTTTTCTCCAACAATGTTTAGGAGGAAAAAGGCATTCATTCTGCCGGATGAGAAACCACCACGCTAAGCAGTGCTGTTGCACAAGCATAATTCCTGGATTATTTCATAGTAACAGTCCTGTGGATATAGCCAAACCTCCATGGAGGGAGGGGAGCACACAAAGCATTTAGAGGTTACAAAAGTTGAAACTCATGAAAGCAACCCATGCAACTTTCATGCCTAAAGAGGGACTATAACTCAGTCTCCTTATTTCTAATCTGGTGTCTTAATTCTTATGCCAAAGTGGCTCTCTTAATTATAGACTAAGGTTTGAGCTTCCCAGTTATTCTTTCTCATTCCTTTCTTCTTAACCTGTAAACATGAGAGAACAATGTTGTGTTAACAGAACTCTAAACATTTGACAAGATTTAAATACATTAATGTAAAATACTGTTTAAACTAATTGCTGATCAATAGGACAGTTCATAAGCTATTAGATCAATCAAAGTGACCATAACTATATTGGGTACTGAAAACAAAACAACCCCCACCCCCCCACAAATCTATGGCTTAGCCATATCTTTATTAGGACCATTTTTTTAAAAAAAAGAGTTTAAAAATGTGCAGGGTTTTGAGCAATTCAGATTTCTTCACCAGGCCAGAAATCACCTAAAGGAGGGGACGAAGAAGATCCAAAAATTAAGCCGGATAGGTTTACAATTTGAAGGCTTTCCTCATTTTCCTTTGTGGTTCTGTTTCCCAATAAGCGCTAGGCTAGGGGAACATGCAACATGTCCGGCTTTGATAGGCACAAGGCAACCTTTTGTCTTTTGATTTCAGAGCGCGTTCGAAACGAGAAGTAATGGCCCGCAAACGTCGTAACCCCAGGTTAAAAGCGGGCAACACTCCTGAAGGATCAGCTTTTAATCCCTCCCCTCTCGGCGTGTTTTTTTCAGATCCGAGCCCAACCGGCCTCCCCACCCCCCACCCCGTTCCCAACCCCTCCGCCTCCTCTCGCTTGGCCGCGCTTCAGCGAGCGAGGGGGGCGTGGAAAGGAGAATGACGGTGACGTTGACACTGACTGTGAACTATGAGGAGGCGCTTGCGCCGTCGCTCGCGTACACGTCTCCAGCCCCCCTTTGGCTAACCGCTTTTTTTTTTCTTTCCCCAATGTGCGCGGGAGGGAGGGAGGGGAGAGGAAGGCGATGGGGAGGAAGGGAAGAGCGAGGGAGGGGTTGGAATGGTGACGTATCAGGCCGCCCTTCCTCCTTTTCTGCTCCTCCCCCTCGCCCACCGTGAGCGACTCCCATCAGGGCACAGCCAGCGCGCCCGCGCCAGTCAGCGCATTAAGAGCCCGGCGGCCGCCTACTTTTTCTTCACCCGGAGCGACCGGGGCTGCCCGCGCGCGCGCGCTTTCTTCCTCCACGCTCGAGGGACGGTTTGTGCGCGCGGGAAGCGGCGACGCTCTCACCAAGGCCCGGAGGCTCGCGGCAGCGGCGGCTTTACCGCCGCCATTATCACCAGCGCGCGACGACGAGGAACCATCTTCGGGGCCCCCCTTCCTTCCTTCCTTCCCTCCCTCCCTTCCTCGCCGTGTCTAGCTCCGCGCAGCGGCACCAGCAACTCCTCCTCCGCCTCCTCCTCCTCCTCCTCCTCTTCTTGGAACAAAGGAAAGAAGCGGCGGCAGCAGCGGCGGCGGCGGTTGCTGCTGCTGCAGCTCCGGGGACCCTCTTCCCGCTAAAGCCCCAAACAGCGGCGGCGTTTCTCCGCCTCTCTTTCGGCTCTTCCCTTGCAAGTCGAAGTATCTGGGACGCCGAGCGACGGTGAGTGGCCTTTCGTTCCAGGTGCGGAGCGGGCGGGGGAGGGGAATGGTGGGAGATGAGAAGGGGGCGTCGTTCTCCCGTCTCGCCTCCACAGAGGAGCGGGAAGAGGCGGGGGGGGGGCTTGGGGTTGGGGGGGGGGGGGGGGTGTGTCCCCCCGCGTGGTGAGGGCCGCGAAAAGTGGGGGGGGGGGTGGCCGCCTTTTCGCTTTGTTTGGCCAAGGAGGACGGCGGGGCAAGGGAGGAGGACAAAAGGGCCGCTTGTTTGCGTGGCTTGTGGAGGAGGTGGTAGGGAGGGAGGGAGCGAGTGAAACTGAGAAAAATATGGATGCTCTTTCTTTCTCCTCCGCCCGTCGCTTGGTGTCGGCTGGCGAGGAGGCGGGAGGGCAAAGTCGCTGAAAGGGAGAAGAAGAAGAAGAAGCGGAGGAGGAGGAGGAGGAGGAAGGGGAAACAAAGAAACTGGAAGGGACACAATGGGCTTCCTCGGGTTGCCGGCGCGGATTGGGAGCGAAACCTTCTTCCTCTTCCCGCCTTTCTTATTCTTCGCCCCCCCCCCTCACCTTCCCACACACACACTCCCGTCCCTTTTTCCTCCGGGCCGAAACGGCCTTTGGGAACCGGGCGTGGGGTGGGGTGGAGAAGATCGTTGGTACGCGTTGGCCCGGAGCGCGGGGGACGACCGCTTGTTTTTTTTTCCCGGGCAGGCTCGGCCTTGCCATGACTCAGTGGTTTTCTTTCACGAGGCCCCTCAGGCCTCGGTATGTGTTTGTCAGCTGGGTGGATGTGGCTTGGGGAGAGGGAGGGGGGGTGAAACGGCGAGCCGTAGCGAGGCCCCTGCCTCTTCCCAGCTTCTTCGCCCATCCCCTCCCGGTAGCTCAACCAGGAGAGTCCGCCCTGACCGTCATCGTCGCCTGCCATTTTCTCTCTCTCTTTTTTTTTTTTTTTATGTCGGCGCGTTTGGCGTCCCGGAGTCCTTGGCGCCCGAGAGCGGCTCCGCTTTCCTTTTATCCGCTGCCTGTCTGTCTCTCCCTCCCTCCCCTTCCCCGCCGCCCCTCGAAGCCCTGAATTACTGGCAGCGGCTTCTCCTTTGTTTCCTCCGACTTGGCCGGTATCCATTGTGCCACTACGAAAAAAAAAATCCCTGGCTCCTTGTTTTCTGGTCGTCTGCCCCCCCCCCAAAAAAAAAAAAAAGCTTCAGGATTTGCCTGGAGGCGCCCTTCTTCTTTCCAGGGCCTCCGAGTTGAACCCGCAAAGCGCCTTGTTGCTTTGTAAAGTTAAATGCGTGTAGACGAGCTGAGCAGTTGCGTGCCATAAGTGATGCAATTTCTGTGGGTGTAATACTGAATTAGTAATCACGGTTTTTCCTTTACCTAAGAAGTTTCATGTTTTTTTGGTGTTAAGCAATCTATGAAGGGCTGTTGAGTTCATTCTGTGACTTCTTCCTTGTGATAAGAGTAACTTTTTAAACCATTTTTTTATTTTATTGAATTTTTAAACGTGGAATATACAACTCTTCATACTACTATCCCACTCTGTGCCCTGGAGTTTTAGAACAAGTATTGATGGAGTGCTTGTTGATAATTGAAAGTTAGGTTGAACAAAGAGCAGGTTTATTTTACAATGTGTCCAACCTTTAGTTGGACAGCAGGAACCAAACTTTTACTTTAAAAAATAAAGCAACCATCTGATTTTTGTAGCCCACCATGTATGTAGCGGTGGCAGAACAATTGCTTATACCACTGTAACTAAACTAGTTTGACAAATTCTCTCATTGTTGGCCTTGCCCATTTTTTTCTTTAACACTATTATGAATTGCCCTATAATTGAGTTTTTTTAAAAAAAAAATTTTTTAACATGAATACATATTTTGCTGTTTTAATTTTGTGAGCTGTACTGGAACTAGGCAGCTTTTGAGATAAAAATAGAAGCTGATTTCAGAGGCCCCTGTTGACAGGGTTTTATCTGAGCTTCTAGCTCAGCTTGTCACATTGCAGCCTTGTGACAAGCGGAAGCTAATGCGCTCCCCCATGTGACCTTAGCTTCTGAGGAAAAACTAAAGCTAGAGGACACACATGGTATTAGAAACCAGCATTCTAGTTAGACTAAAGATATAAAGCATATTCAATAACATGAGATTATAAATTCCATGCCAAGTGCCACTTGGAAGCTATCTGAAAATCCAAACTGGCTTTATTTCATTTAGCATCAGTTTTCAATTTTTTTTTCATTTACCCATTCCCCATTTTTTGAATATTTGTCCTGTTGCTTTTTGGACAATTTGAACTGAAATAGCATTATATGGAAAGAGGCTATGTTTTTACAAAGATGCAGTACTAAATATATTGGATTGAATAGGCTAGTATTAAGTTACTTGATCTCTACTATGCCTTATTGTGTCAATTTTAGATACAACCTGAATGTTTTAATGGTGGTCGGAATTCTATCTGTAAAGAAGTAAACCTACTTTGGAAGGCTAATAGATATTTTCTTCCACTTTTTTCAAACATGTATGTTAAAATATGTATATTTTGATATACTGAGATGACCGCCTTTTTAGTTATTTGGGGAAAGGATAAATATAACTATCCTGTCAAGTTTAGTTTTGAACTTCTAATAGTGAAAATAGCTATAAGAAAGCAAACTTCATACCTATATACACACATAATAATAGCCTTCCAGGTTTATAATATAAAGTATACAGGAATATTAATAAACAATATTAGTCTTGCATAACATTTTGTTTATGGGATTGTGGCAGTGTTTTTGTTAATGCAATGCTTATGCTAAAAGCAGGGTTGTGCATCATGATATTATTTGCATAAACTCCACTCTTCCTTCCCAATCCAACATAAACCTATATAAAAGCAATCTGAAGTCCATTTAATAGCTCAGGAACTTTGGACTTTAGTAAACAACATAATTGTCAGTGGAATATACAGTTAGTGGCACATTTGGGTCATTATGTCATATGGGTAAGCCATATGCACCTGCACATTACACTTATTTTTGGTTTTTTTACGATGCAAGCAGCATTCCCCTTTAGAGAAAAAGAATCTCTTGGGTGAGGGTTGAACTGGGAATGGCTTTAGGCTGAAAGGAATCAAATGACAAGCAGCTTATTTTCTTTTGGCTTAACTCACATCTTTAACAATTGAGAGTACCTATTAATTTCTCTATTCATCTGCCTTTGGACAGATAAGATGAAGATTGTTTCTTTTTCACAGCTTACAGTCTTCAAATACATACATTTTCACCAGTCCTGTCCCATCCCTGTTTATGATGATCTGCCATTTCATGATGATACACATTCTACATTTATGCAGAAGGCTAATTGTGTCATACTAGCATTTGTAATAGCAATTCTATGTGAATTATGAATGTATAGCAGCTCCTAATTAGGTATCCTTTTGCTCTGTTTACAGCACAAGATGGCTCAGGAAACCAACCAGACCCCAGGACCCATGCTGTGTAGCACAGGATGTGGATTTTATGGGAATCCTAGAACTAATGGAATGTGTTCCGTCTGCTATAAAGAACATCTTCAAAGACAGCAAAATAGTGGCCGAATCAGTCCAATGGGTATGTTTTGGAGCAACAAAAATGAAAAACTAGATGTCAGTACAGTACATTTCAAAAATAGCTGGAATTAATATTACACCATGCCTTCCCAAACTTTGAAATGTTTTTCTTAAATCTGGATTCATTCACTATAGTTACAAAGACCTGGAAGCATTTAATAACAGCCATTTTATTTGCTTAAACATTCTAATGTATTTGTTATATTCCTTTTTTTTATTTTTTTACTACCCAGGAACATCAGGTGGTTCCAATAACCCTACCTCAGAGTCTACGTCTATACAGAGAGCAGATACTAGTTTAAACAACTGTGAAGGTGCTGCTGGCAGCACATCGGAGAAATCAAGGTAAAACAAAGATGTTAAATTTATCTTGAAATTATTTAAAATGTTTTTTTACAATTGCATTAGATTCTGCTATACTTAATTAATAGAGGTAATACTTAGTCTATTTTTGCAGTTAATCTGAGAATTATAATGATTAAATGTTTATAATAATATCTTGGATGACTATAAGAATAGATTTTAAAGTCAGTTGTTAAGAATTTGTTATCAGAATTTATTATCAGTGGGTTCAATAATTCAGTTACCAAAAAGAGCTGAAGTTGTTAAAAATCTTAGCTTTATAAAAATTCTAGTCTTCGTAATAGCACTAACAAATTGCTTTCATTTTACTGAATGCAAGCAGAAATGTGCCTGCTGCCGCCTTGCCTGTAACACAGCAAATGACAGAAATGAGCATTTCAAGAGAGGAGAAAATAATTCCGAAAACAGAGACAACAGAGCCAGGTATGCCTCTTTAAAAGTGACTTGAGTGCAGTTAGTACAGTGGGACCTGGCACGTTTAAACATCTATAATCAAGGAAGAAAACTATAATATTTGATATTTGAACACTTCTTACACAGTTAGCCCAGCTCTGAGGCAGCAATCTGGCCAACTGTGGTGGATCTCAGAAAGCTAAGCAAGGTAGGACTTGTTTAGTATTTGGATGAGAGGCACCAGGAAATCCCAGGGTTGTAGCCTAAAGGGGTGGGTATGGGGGAGAGGGGTTATTGGAAGAAGAAAGTGGCAAACCACTTCCAAATAGTTACCAAAAAGAATATATTGTCACAGGGTCAACTCAGTTCAAATAAAAGTTTATTTTTACCTTATATATTTAAGGAAAAAAGCACTCAAAAAACTACCAAAATATTATTCTTAAATCATTTAATTTTCTTCCTATAAAAATGCTTAATTTGCTAGTCAGATCAACAGCTAATAAATTCAGTAGTCAAAATAAACCAAAAATCCCATGCAAAATGCTTATTGTGTTTTAGAACTGAAGACATCTTCTGCTATGGTTAACATTACAAACTTTGACAAGTTCCAAAAGTTCATTTGTAATATCAGCAAACATACATTCAATCATACATATGTATTCATTCATTTTCATATCCATACTCTGCTCTTTAATCAGGTTTTTTAAGTGGGTCATCAAATGTTTTTTATCAAAGCTATTTTAATAATTCATTCTTCTGTATAATCATAATCATAAATAGTATTTTTAGAGTAAACTTTCTGCAGTTAATGTTTTAATTAATGTATGGTGCAAAACTTTCTTTTTAAATGTATTAAATTGAATATACTTAAAGGGAAAGTATTGTAATAAGTTCATGGTTTTGCTAGAAATTCAATAATGAGAAGAAATTCATTGACTGCTTAAATAGTGTTTTGAAGGAATCTTATAATATGGGAAAGTTTCACATAACATTAAATATTGTAGAAGGGGAAATAACTATATAAAAAGATAGGTGTAGCTCAGTATATGCAAAAATCTATACAGGTTGACTTAGAGCAGTTCATTTAGTGACTTAGAGCAGTTCATTTAGTGACTATTTTTACACTGTGATCTACAGTGATTTACACCTGGCACTGAAAAAAATGACTTATGACCATTTTTAACATGACTTGCAGCATCCCCATGGACACATAATCAAAATTCAGAACCTGGCAGCTGACTCATATTTATGATAGTTGCAGTTTCCTGGGGTTTGCGACTTTCTTACAAGCAAAGTCAATGGGGAAGCCAGATTTACTTAACAACAGTGTTACTAATTTAACAGCTGCAGTGATTCACTTAACTATGGCAAGAAAGGTCTTACCATGGGGCAAAATTCACTTAACTGTCTCAACAACAGAAATTTGGGCCTGAATTCTGGTTGGAAGTCGAGGACAACCTGTACTCAGAAGTCCACAAAAAAATATATATTCTGAGTCTTTTCTCAAGTTCTGAAAATTAGTACTTTAAATGGTTACTTGGCATAAGTGGAAGATAAAAGTGAGAAATACAGTTAGGCTTTTTACTTGAACATTAATACCAATACGCTTCTTAAAAATGAAGAAATCCATGTTTAGATAATAGCAACAAACAATATTTAAGATAATCAATGCATTAATAATTACGGCCTAAACAATCTATTTTAGATATATATCAAACAGTTTTATGAGCAACCAAGTTATATATAAATTTAATTAACTCACTTTTTATCAGTAAACAAAGGTTAATTAAAATTTGCACACACCCCATGTTCTAAGCAACAACATTCTTCCTCCATAGATTATAACTTACACACCAACTGAAGTTGATTGCACATTAGATGTTTTTCATGAATTATGTATTGATATGATAACCACATTGTTTATATTCGTTAATATTAAACGGATGGTTAATGTGGACATACTTATTTTATTCATTTGAACTTTGTACGCTCCCAATATTTTGAATTATAATTCTCATGATTTCTTAGCACTATTTGTGCTGGTTGAGTCATATTTTTCTGCAATATTTTGTTCTTACATATTTAATAATTGAAACGTCTAAAGAGTTTTCCCAATAGTGTTATTCTTGGTGCACTTTATCATAAGGGTGAATTTGAGTTGGATATGAGACAAAGTAGCTTTAAGGTAAAAAGCAGCTCATACCTATTGATAAACATTCATCCTTGCGGCCTTTCTTAAAAAGGAAATAAAAATTTTAATATCTAATCCTGTCTTAGCTCAAAATTTTAGAATGATTTGACAAGATTTTATATACTTACGTGTAAAACATTTCTACATCATTAAAAATGATTACACTGGCAGCAGAATGGCTGTTTTAATTCATCATTTAAATTATATCAGTATATGTCACCCTGTAGACGTTTAATACATATTTCAGTTAGCTCAATAAAATAAACTTTCTGTTATGTAGGCAATACCATAAGTGAAGGAGATAATTGATCTCTGGAAAGTTGCAGAGGAGTCTGTAGTTTTTACTTCCAGTTTATCCATACAGTTGATTATAGTCCTGCACTCATGATAGCTCTGTATTGAAATGATAGCAACATCATTTGTAACATGAACTCTGTAACATACATACACATCTTCAGGTGCTTTCCTGTTTATTCTAAGCAAGCTGTTGTAGCTGCTATGTGAAACAATGATAGAGGAAAGAAAGCTATTTCAAAGCATTTACTTTAAGTAAAAAATATTTTTCTAAAAAGGTGGCATAAATAGAAAATAAAATGCTGTAATAACTTATAAATATTACTGTCTGTGTGAGAACCAGGAAAGTGTTAGCTTTCCAAATAACAGAAGATCATAGTCTCCTTTCCCTCCATTATTGGATGTGCTGATTGGGGTTGATAGAAGTTAGAGTTAAACAATATTTGAAGGATTCTCCACACCTGTTCTCTCATCTCCCAACATGTACTGCTAGACTGTGCAGAACTATGAATCCACTGATTAAGCCATTGCCACCAAATACCTTGGTTCTGATTCTTGGTGCCTTTGATAAAGCTCAGTGTTGGAAAAAGTTCTTCGATTTCCAAAGTAGTTGTACTCATTTATTACAAAATTGTTTCAAATTGTCCAAAGTATTAAAACAACTCATTATATAAATATTCCTCAGGATAGTTTAAAAAGAGAGAAATGGGAAAGAGAAGAAAAATAACTTAAGCCTGGTTGTACACCCAATATCTTCAAGAATGTTTTTCACCAAATAATTCTTATGGAAATAATTGTTTCAATATTAACATTTTTCCATGAAACAACTCCAACCAATGTTCCACTGCTTCAAATCAATTGTGTCTTGATATGACAAAGATAGATGGGGTATTGGTTTCAGGGTGCTATCCTGCTATTGCCCAAATACAAAATGCTGAAGAGGATGGTTCTTAATATCTGAGTATAAAGGAACTCAGAAGCATTCTGTTTTTCCTCTGGATCATGGTGATCCGACTGTTCCATGGGTGGTCTAGCTATTTTCTACAAGTTAATTTTTTGAGTTGGAAGCAGATTATGATGTTTTAGACATAATATTCCAGATTGAAAAACAATTCCCAAAACTTCATAGTAACTAATATTGACAGCAGTTTAAGTGTGGATTTTTTAATCCTTTGTTACAGGTTAACAGTAATTGCATTAGAACCACAACAATAAAGCACCATTCTTGCATTAATAGCCAGAAAAAATTCAACTACATAGATAATAGTTGCACAATACATTCAATGCATGGGCATCTTTTTGCATTGGTAATAGTTGAACAAGCAGATCCAGAACTTATTCTGAACACAGAGACAGGACCTAGGCAAGTCAGTGATTAGTGCTCAATTATAGCAGTTTCATCCTATGTTTAGGTAATCACTTTTCCTTTCATTCCTGCATCACACATCTGATAGCATGGATGAAATTGGTCCTGCTACTGTACTTGGTAATACACATTTTGCAAAAAAAAAAAAAAAATAGAAAATACAAGTCTTAGCATTCAAAGCAACATAATTTTGCTTAGGGGGCAGAAAATTCAGAACATTTTTGTTCCAGTCTCAATGAAGTTCTGGAACACTGGTCTTTTGTTTCACATCTGAAACACTGGAAACTTTCATTTCACGTTCAAATATCAAACTTAAATAGGGATATTTTGTGTATGCTATTTAATAATGGAGCACGTGAAAAGGTGATGGAGATGAAAGTTCAGATTAAAGCAGAAATGTATATTTAACCAATTTCTGTTGTTCTTTTAGTGGTTACTCAACCAAGTCCTTCAGTTACTCAACCTAGTACATCTCAGAATGAAGAGAAAACACCTGAAATGCCCAAACCAAAGAAGAACAGATGTTTTATGTGCAGAAAGAAGGTTGGACTTACAGGTAGGATATTGGAGTTCATTTTGTCTAGCTCCTTGCTTTAAAAGAATGTATTTGGGAAACATTTAAATGTCTTTCAAAGAAGACGAATATCCTTAGGAGGGATAAGGATAGATGTATTGCTTAGAAAGATAATGCCTTAGTTATAAGACTTCACCATAACTTACTTCAAGGTACTATTTCTGTGTTTTCACAGGATTTGACTGCCGATGTGGAAATCTGTTTTGTGGACTTCACCGTTATTCTGACAAGCACAACTGCCCATATGATTACAAAGCAGAAGCTGCAGCAAAAATCAGGAAAGAGAATCCAGTTGTTGTGGCTGAAAAAATCCAGAGAATATAAACTAACCTACTTGGTGCAAAGACTGACTTCCTTTGTTTTTATTTTAAAATATCCTAGGAAAACATTAAAGAGCAGATGCATGGCCATTTTCCTTTGATGTTCTCCAGAGTTTTACTTTAGTTTGTCTTATTGATTGATATTTTAGGATATTGTGGGTGTTACAGGCAGAATTGGATAGATACAGCCCTTTAAAATGTATACATGCCCTCCCCCAAATGAATGAAAGAGTAAGACCTGCATTGGAAAACAGACATGCGCAAAGGACAGAGTTGTCTAGTTCACATGTGCCAAACAGATGCATAAAATCTGCATGTTTGCAGCAGATTTGCCTTTTGGGATTGTTGAAAGAGGTATATCATCATTGGATAGTGCTAATGTGCCTGTTTGATTAAATGATACACCAAGAAAAATGAGTCTACTTTTACCATAGTTAACCGTAATCATCTTTAATTTCCACACTTCATTGTTCTAAGGCTGAACTGCAGAGGAGCCAGTTTCTAAATGGAAATGGGTGTTCAGGTGCCATAAACTGCAGTTTAAGATTACCTTCTAGAGGATGTAATCTTTGGAAGTGATAAAAATTGTTCAACTGTTAAAAACTAGTTCTTGAAGGAAACTTTTTTCAAAATTTTATGAACTAGCCTACAACAGAAGACTTGTCTGCTTCTTACTCTTAAGTAGCTAAATACATTGAGTAGCACAATGCAACAAGAATTGATTTCAGTTTACAAAATAAAGGCTACATTTTTGATAAAAGTTAATCACAGCAGCTCTTTCAAATAAGCACCTGCATCTGATGAACCTAGTTTGCAAATGTATTCAAGCCTTTAATTTTTTCATATGCATCTTAAGTTGAATGTGTTCTGGTTTGAAAAGAAGGTTAGCCTTTAATTTTTTTATAGTTTCCAAATGTAGTGAGATTGCACCCTTTTGCATGGAGAAATCATACCCAATATGGCTGCTGTACACTTAAGTGGTACCTGGAACCACTCTGAGGGGCTGCTTTTATCATTTTAATAGTATTTGGGTGTAGGACTGTAGTGTTCTTGGGTGTATTGCATGGGCTGCATTATCTACAGCATTGTACAATAACAACTCTAGAAAAGGCAGTATACTTCACTGATGCTTGTCTGGTAATATCACTTCTGTGTTATAATGGAAGGGTTTTTTGTGATGTATGAAACTTGTGTTTTTTATATAAACAAGTACAGTTTAGAGTAGTATAGTGGTAATGCCTGTTCTCATTTGTAAATAGTTGTGTATACATAGGGCACTACTTCTGATTTCTATTGCAGTGTTCAGTCTTAGTTTTCTTCATTAAAAGCATCAGGTCTTTGCTTTAAATTTTGTCCTCAGTTGAGTTATTAGATAAGCAAATGTGTACAGATAGTTCATATTTATGTATTGCACATAATCATGCTACCCAGCATCTATGCTATATTGTATTATGTAAATAATAAAATCATGTACAGAGGGATATAGTTCCTTTTGTGATGGTTCATTGGCATGGAAACTAATTGAGTTACGAACGCTCTGCTGGTGGGGAAGAGGTGGTTGCAATTTATTGTTCAAACTTTATTGGTTTCTAATTTGGGGATTTAACTACGATAGTATATATGTTTCTCTCATTGCTGAATGTTTGTTTATTGTTTCCACTCTCAAAGATGATCTAGTCAGGTGAGCAAAGTCTGTAAGCAGGAATATATAGATACCTGACAGAAATTTGAAAACAGCCGTATCAGTATGATTGAAAGGGGGAATGTCTTACATTCTACATGCTTCTCCAGTTGACAGTTTTTTCTTGTTGACATTTTGGCAGCAATTTTCTGGCCATAATTGCAGCCCTTGATGATTCACTAACTGTGGACGTAACTGTTTTGTAGTTTGGTTAATTCCTGATGATTTGAACAAAGAAACAGAAAGGCAATTTATACTGTATGTAATACACATACAGTATGTAATATAAAGAAAAAATATATTTAAAATATATATTGCCTACTATGCACACTTTTTTGCATTTATATAACTTAGATTTATCTTCAGTTCAAATTATAAAGAAGACCTTTTTTCTGTTCCAGTTTTAGGCAAAACACATGCTCCATTTAGTCATCCTACGAATCAAAATTCCTTGTGGAAATTAAGATTTACTATACTGATGAAAAACATTTTGACTTGCTGGCTATCTGATATGAACAGCAATTAATGTTAGGTGTTAAAAGAGTGACTGGAACTTGTAAAAAGACTGAATCCTTCTAATTTTCTATTGTGACCTTGTCAAAGAAAGGAAAAAATGTCTTTAGTACTATATAAATATTATAGACTTCTGTTTGGAATAATGAAGTCATTGGGCAATTTATGATGTGCCTATTAGCCCTCTCTAGGATTGAAGGATTGCTGCAGGGAGTTTATATTGGAAGCATATAAAATCAACCTGCTTTTTCTTTTCTGAAGTCAGAAAATCTTTGAAGGAATTTTGAGTATCAAATCTAAATAACCTTAGCATTTGAGTTTTCAGTGTTCTGAGAAAAAGAAAGGGGCAGTACATGCTTCAAAAATGAAGTATAAGCAGAGCTTCCTGGGATAATAATTTTGCCAGTGCTGAACCAGTTGCTGAACTTTCATTGCTATTGGCTCAAAAGATGTGCAATATCTGTTATTATTTCATTCAATCATATCCGATTCTTGGAGATTGCCTGCAATGGCTTTTTTTTTTTCCAGAAGTGGTTTGCCGTTGCTTGATTTCTAGGGCTGAGAGAACATGATCTGCCCAAGGTCACCAAGCTGGCTTTGTCTCCAAGGCAGAAGGTCTTCTAGTTTCTAGCCTAAACCTATAAAGAATTGGCAAACTATAGAAGTTACCTAAGAAAAGGTTTTATAACGGTACCAATATTTTGGAAATGCTACCCCTTAAAGATAAAATGTGCTGTTGGAGTGCAAAAGTTCAGTGAATTGCCAATTGATTATTCTGCTTTACTATTTTACCTGTTTCAAGAGAGATAATTGTAACTGGTATATCTGATAAAGTAGACTAAAATGTGTAGAAAAACATGACAAATATTTGGGGTATGATTGTTATTCAAATATCTTTTGATGTAAAAGGCTGATTTGGGAAAAAGGGAAATGGTGAGGAGTTGATGAACTTTAAAAGTTACCTATCCTTTAAAACTACAGGTAGTCCTCGACTTACAACAGTTTGTTTAGTGACTGTTCAAAGTTACAATGGCACTGAAAAAAGTGACTTATGACCATATTTCACACTTAGAATCATTGCAGCATCCCCATGGTCACGTGATCAAAATTCAGGTGCTTGGCAACAGATTCATATTTATGATCGCTGCAGTGTCCTGGGGTCATGTGATCACCTTTTGCAATCTGACAAAGTCAATGGGGAAGCCAGATTCACTTAACCATGTTACTAACTTGATAACTGCAATGATTCACTTAACTGGCAAGAAAGATCGTAAAATGGGGCAAAATTCACTTAAATGTCTCATGTAGTAACAAATTTTGTGGTCAGTTGTGGTTATATGTCAAGGACTACCTGTATTAATTTATTTGGATTTTCTACAATGGAAAAAGTGACAATAGCTGAGTAGTGGACAACATCTCTTATTTCAGTGGACTCAAAGACAAGGAACATTCTTCTTTTTTCAATGTTGGAAGTAAAAACTAAGGATATGTTTCTCCTCAAAATGAAAACAGAACTTTTCTAGTTATCAAGAAATGGAAGACGTAACAGTATTTTCTTCTCTGATAAGTTACCTGACTGCACTTTCAAGCGAAACCATGAACTAAACCATACCCTTCAAAAACTGTAGTTCTTTGAATGTTGCAATATAAAACAGAAAATGCATATTAGATCAGTACACAAAAGCTAATGAGAGTGCAAAATTGTTTGAAAAAATGCATGCCACTTTGCCAACCTCTATAAAAGAAACTGACATGTATTTTAAATACTGTATATCCTTAATTTTTAAAAATTCAAATGTATGTAAAGCAGATAATGCATACTAAATTATAGCATGTGTATTTTATATAAAGTAGGATATAATGAACTACTTGAAGTACTTTAGGAAATCCAGAGAAAGAAAACCAGTTCTTTCATCATATTGAAAAAGATTTGTCTTCACAGTTGTCAACTCAAATATCTTGTGATTGTATATTTCCATAAGAATTGGACGTGGAATTCCTTTTTATTTCAGCATCTTCAACTGGTGTCACATGATTTTAATTTTGGTTACTTATATGGGTTGCATTTAGCAACACCTTGCATCACAGAAACAGGTATCCAAAATCTCTCCAGATTCCATTTGTTAATTTTTCTAGTTACATTTATTGTATCTTTTAGCAGTGACACGATGCAACCACCTTGCTGTAGCATGCTTTAACATTTACAAGAAAATCCAGCAAGTTTTAGAAATCAAAATCACGTCTACTTGTACTTGCTAATTTTAAAGATCACATTTCTGTAATTAGTGCTGAACTTAGTAGTTTTCTTGCTGCTAAAATTAGCGTTTTGTTGTTGGATTTTTTGCACATCTAAAAAAATCATACCAGTCAAACACCTCAGCAGGGATGGTTTATTAAGGATGTTTTAATTAAAGCTTAGTTATGCATCTGTCTTGCTTGTGCCACTTTCGTTTGAGAACTAGAATTATCAGTAGTGTGCAAAGCTCCCAGTCACAGATAATTTGTTTCTCGTTTTCTCCATATATCCATGCTCCCTTAGTCTGTCTCAAACTTAGCAATTTCTGAAGAGCCACAGGTTGCCCATTCTTTTAAAAAAAAACTTACATGAGTCTCATAATACCTTCTATCTTACTCCCAAGTAAAAGATATTGAATGACTTGCTAATAGATGCTGGTTTTATGACTGGAATCCATCTACAACATATGTTTGTTTGTAAAGAGTAAGCTTCAGTATTCCAAATAACTTTATCCTTTATCCTAGACAGTAATCCTAAGAGCAGAAATTATAAAAATTGTTATCCATCTCCTAAAGCTAAGGGGATGCAGCAAAATAGCTAATCCAATCTGATTCATATCAGTTCATATCAGAGTCAATTCATTGTATCTAGAACCAAACTTGCAAAAGCATGATGTCTTAAATGTGAGGGAAAGTCTAATTGCCGTATTGCAAATGTTTGTTATTGTTTTCAAGTGGAATGGTGTGGAATAATGATGCAAAGTACAGTTTTATACGAATATGGAGTATATTAACTTCAGAGTAGTCTTTGTGATGTTCTGTGTTTTGTGCCCTATGCAAATGTTCCAAAACTGAAGATTTTGCCTTGCTTGTTCCATGCACTATGTAAAACTAAACTAATCACTTTCAGCTCTGCCTAAAATGGCAAGAGATTTACAATTACAGTAAATGTGTCCTCCTGTCTTCCACCTCAGAGAACTTGGAAATTCTTCCCTGTTTACTAAAGAAGAAATAAACTCTTGTTTCAATATAGTATCTAATTTGATCATAGGTGAGGTGAGTCATCTCCATTCTGGTGCCTTCAGTCATTCTACAACCCATGATACCAAAACTATAGCAAGTTCACACAAAGAAAACCTTAAAATTGCTGTTACTGAATTGTTCCTTTCTTCTCTTCGCAAAAGACAACTGATCAATGACTGTGAGCACAAAGAGCTATGCATATTTCCAGCCTAAATGCTTTCAGCCATACTAGTGTCTCTATTCAAAATAACAGCTAAAGCACCCAGAGAGAAAATGACTACAGAAATGAAAGCTCAACAAGTATAAACATATGCATGCTTCCTTTGTAGTCTGACCTACTGAATTCAGAGGTTCTTATGCCCAGGTAAGTATGCAGGAGCAGCAAAACAGGTATGGAAGCCGCCCTTCCAGGTCTAATTCCAGTTGTCTATTGGGAATGTTTTAATGGCATTGCAACGTGAAGGATAATGGTTTAAAAGTGAAGTCTTTCTCACTGCACATTTCCATCCTAATTTTCTTACCTGTAAGAGGTTATATATTGAGGTGGCTCAAGGCTAAGACACTGAGATTGTCGATCAGAAGGTCGGCAGTTCAGTGGTTCGAATCCCTAGCGCCATGTAACAGAGTGAGCTCCATTTCATGTCCCAGCTTCTGCCAACCTAGCAGTTCGAAAGCACGTAAAAAGTGCAAGTAGAAAAATAGGGAACACTTTGGTGGGAAGGTAACAGTGCTCCGTGAGCCTTGGCATTGAGTCATGCCAGCCACATGACCACAGAGATGTCTTCGGACAGCGCTGGCTCTTCGGTTTAGAAACTGAGATGAGCACCACTCTCTAGAGCCGGAAACGACTAGCACGCATGTGCGGGGGAACCTTTACCTTTAAGAGATTATAATTGCACTTGCTAAATAAAAGAAAGATGTTGAATGAGTTTTATCTTAATTGCTATGCTCTTATGTCCCCCCCACCCCATGACAATAAAGATACCCAACCAGCAAGTTTTGCCTGTATTCATGAGTTTTATGTATGCC